GGCAGCCCCATCGGCTTTGCCTAAAGCCAAAGTTAAAAAGAAATGTCAATCAATCATAAAGACAAAATTTCCATAAAGTATACAGTCTGGAGAGAAAACTCTCACTTATTTCACTAACTCACAAGCCTTTTAACGAGGGAGCGACAAGCTAAAACATAGCGCACCTAAAGACAAAGTTAAAAGAAAATCAATCACAAGAACAAAATTTCCATACAGACAGTTTATTCTTCAAGGAGGCAAGCATGTTCTGTAATCATAGTGATAAACGGGTTCTATAACTAAATCTAAAATTTGAATTTTTTTTTTGGCAAGAAGCATTATTCTAAAATTTGCAATGACAAGTCATGGAAAGTGATAGATGCATAAGCATGGTAATTGCGCTTACTTTCAAGAGAATTATTGCTGATAAAACAACCGTTTTCATTAACCTTTAAGAGGAAACAATCAGGGTTGAGTATAGACATTTGAGGGAAGGTTCCCAATTGAAGAAATTAGTGTTTCTTATAGACAGATTGGCAGCAAAAGGTTAGAGTCAGGTTCACTTGAATTCCATTCTGGGAACTTCAAATTATGAAAACAATTTGAAGGAAGTTAATCCATTTCCAAACCACTATTAATTTCGGTCGCTATAATATTACAAATAAATGCAGTAAGAGCAGCACTACAAACTAATACTAGTATCACTTATCTGGAATCTGGACAAGAATACAATTCAGGATCTGTTGTCAAACACCAGGCATCCAAAGTCCATGCAGTATATTCATGCGGAAGAATTTTCCTAGCATCCAAAGTATGAATACAGACATCAACAAAACATCGAAGACAGTTAAAATAGATGATTTCCAGAAACTGTGTTAGTTGCTAGAAATAAGCAGCTTTGCACTTGCCCCAGCTTCTTACCATCTTCTATTCACTTTTCACCCAAACATGGTAAGACGGGTGATCAGCTCAGTTAAATAGTTGATTTCCACAAAAGGGTCCCAGTTGTACTAGAAATAAGCAGCTTCGTTCTTGGCCCAACTTCTTACTGTCTTCTATTCACTTTTCACCCAAACTCTGTCAACACAGATGGTTAGTACAATATCATGCTTCCACACTCCAATCTCTAAAGCAAGGCATCTATATATTTCATCTAGAGTGGTTACCACAGCCAAATAGAATTTTGAACATTAAAGTAACTGTGGAAGTAACCATTCACCGAGGTGTATTTTGTAAATATGCACCAATAAACAGACTAAAAGATCAGATTTGGAACTACTTCCACATAAAAAGGATTCATGTCTTCAACAGCTGATCGGTCTTCAAGGCAGCAGCTTAATTCATAATCATCAGAGTTATAAATGCCAACTTGTCCTCGATTTAAATTCAATTTAATGTCGCTTTAGCACCATGCTTTGGTCTAGGAGATAGCACAAGTAAATCCTTAAAGCGTACAACCATGAGCAGCTTAATCCCATCCCTGTTTCCTATCACCTTAATGGGCTAACCACCCAACCGGTGATTGGATGTTGTCTGCGAACTCTAGTTGTTCTATGTGAACCACTTTGTAAACGTTCAAGGATGGTATATGTGATTGAATCAGCTGTCAAACCCTGTTCTTTCAATTTTGCATATAAACTAACAGCTTCTGAAGTTCTCCCACTTCTCTCCAGACAGTCAAGTAGGATATTGTATGTCACTATGTTAGGATAACAACCAGCTGCAAGCATTTCATCAAAGAGGCGATATGCCATCTCAACTTTTTCTGTCTTCCCAAAGCATTCAATGAGAGTACTATATGTTACAACATCAGGATTCAAGCCCTTTTCCTGCATCTCAATGAATTTCACGTGCGCTTCATCAATGTCACCATTCTTCCCCAGACAATTTATTAAGGAGTTATAGGAGACAATATCAGGTTTACAATTGCTATTCTCAAGTTCTTCAAAAATCTTGAGAGCTTCCTCAACCTGTCCTGCTCTACCAAAGCTAGAGATCAAAATGTTATAAGTAAATATGTCTGGTGAAGGGCCATCCAGTTTCATCTTCTCATAGAGATCATGAAGATGAGAAATCTGCTTTAATTTCCCAATAGCAGCGCACACAGTATNCTTTCCCAAGAGCAGAGAACACAGTATTATACATGAAGGTATCTGTTTTTACTCCCTTTTCATTCATCTTATTCAGCAAGTCAATAGCCTCAGTTACTTTCTTACTGTTGCATAAGCTCTCTAACATGGATAAGAAAGCATCACGATCTCCTCCATCATGGAAGCTCCACATATTGCAAAAGAGCCTGTGAGCTTCGTTTGCATGGCCTAGTTTACTCAATGTTCTAACAAGATATGCATATATTGGTTTATTCATGTATCTCTTAGATATTTCCACAACTTCATCAAGTCTTCCAAGTTGCCCTTCTGCAGCCAATACATTTAAAATAATACTGTAGGTAAATTCATTTGGACGGCAACTATTCCCCACCATCTTAGAGAAGACAAAGATAGTCTTATCAACCATTCGGCCTTTGGCAAGAGCTTCGATCATAGTATTATAAGCCATTAAATTCGGTGATATGCCCTTTGACAGCATTTCCTGAAAAAAAGACAGTGATTCGCCGGGCTTCCCTAATTTCCCGGTCATTCTGATCAGAATGGTATATGTATATTCATCTGGTTCGCAGTGCCACATCTTCATGTCCTCAAAAACCTTGTAGCCCTGATCAACCTGGCAAAGCGCTGCACATTAGAATCATTAGACAAGCAGAACCATATTCATCATATATTTCAATACACACTCATGGAGTGGAGTCAAAACAGCTCTGTAGCATAATGCATGTATACTGTTTATTAAGTATTTTAATCTTAGAGACAATAAATACACTAGCAAACTCAATATCAAGACATCTGACCATACTTGTATTATTCTCATACCAAGAAATAATGATAGCACCTGTGACTAGAACTCTTCCTATCCGCTTCAACAATAATCTTAATTGAATGACTGCACCTTGCAAAACTCAAAAGTCGAAATAAGCGTAAAACACCTTTTTTAATATCGGTGGTGTTGAGCCAATGTGTGCACCTCGACTAATTCACCAGGTACTTGCTTATCTCCCACTACTACGATACTGACAAACACTATACACCAAGGTTTAAAATACTGAAAAGATTCACCTAGTGTCACCTTCGTCGGAGATCAAACTTCCGTACGCAAAGTTGTTACTCCAGATTCTCGACTACTAAGCCAAGACACACTATACACCAAGGTTTAGAATACTGAAAAGATTCACCTAGTGTCACCTTCGTCGGGGATCAAATTTCCGTACGCAAAGTTATTACTCCAGTTTCTCGACTACTAAGCCACCCATTTAGAGGTAAAGGTGATGATGCACTTCATTTGCATTTCCTATTTTTAATAACTAAGACAGCTCATTTCCATTGAATTTGGTGTACCTAGCTGCACCACTAATTTGAAACCTAGATATAGAAATTAAACTCGATTCAATCTCATAAAAAACTACAATAATAGAAATTAGACACAACAACCGAATGAAGTGGTCCAATTTGGAGTGAAGGCAATCTGGTTTCGTTGATATCTAGACTTCAAAATATTTCATAAAAGGCGCCATCTTTGTTCCACAAAGACAGTAAGGTTTACCATGTGAAAAAAAAAAAAAAGTAATTCATTCATCTCAATTTCACAATTGAAAGACAGACTACAAATATCTTTTACACTATAATTTTTCTTCCCAAAAAGAATACTTTAGTTAATAATGCCAAAGATCAAACCTTTTGGTCCCTAGCAAGAGCATCAAGAAGCATGTTGTACGCAAATATATCCAATCTATAGCCACGCCTCCTCATTTCTTGGTAAACTTCTAAAGCCTTATCCGAATTGCTCAATCTAATATAAGCTTGTAACATACACTTGTAACTGTAACAATTCAACCTCAAATCCCATTTTTGAACCAACCCCAAACACTTCGTCAGCTCATTAAGCCCATTCCCTTGTTGGCCGTCTCCGAATATTCCAATTAGAAGATTAACGGTGGAGATGTTTCCACTTATACCAGACCGTTCCATTTCATCGATAATTTCGCGGACGCAATCGAGCCGGTTCGGTAGAGAAGACTTGGAGAGGATGAGAAGGATGCGATTGTAAGTGAAACAGTCATGGCGAAACTTAGGGATTTCGGAGGGGCAAAATCGGAAGAAACGAAGAGCTAAGGTTGGGGATTTGAGGTTTTTGAGGATTTCGGAAGCTTCGGAGGGAGTTAGAGTTAAGGTTAATGTGTCCAAGTAGTCGGATAGGTCAAGGAATGGATCGGATGAAGCGGAAGGAGGTGATTTTAGAATTTGGGAGATTTTACAGATTAGGTCACGGCGGGGGAGAGCATAGCCTCTGGAGTCTGCTTGGAGGGTTGGAGCATCGACTTCGACGGCAAAGGAACGACCATCTTCTGCTTCGACTACCACTCTGCCGCTGTATTTGGTGCCGAAGCATCGGAACTGCTGCCGGAATGTCTGCCGGAGCCGGTAGCAGGGATGCCGGAGCTTCATGGACTTTGTTATGTTCAATTGGACACAGACGGAGTGACACCATGGGAGCTCATTCAACTACCTCGACAGGCCCTCTTACTTAGCGGCCCATTGGGCCAAAGCCTTTCAATTGACGTATGTTATATTCCAATTTCCAAGCAACATATGTTTACTTACTTGCATCCGGTATTTACATCATACTAAATAATTAAAGAAAAATATATATTATTCAACCATGATTTGCATCCATTAATTTTTTTGTAAACATGAGCGCAAGTAAGTTTTTACCTTTTGTATTTACATAATAAGAGGTTATGGCACTAATCATTCATCAGGTATCTTAATTTTTGACATAATGGCTTTGTGTCGGCGTTTCTCGTTTAACATAGGTTACTTCACTCCTATTCCACCTCCAAGTTGTCTGTGTTTCTGTCGACGCATTGAAAAAATTGAGCGAAACACTTGCTAATGGCATTCAAGATGTGAATGAGCAAAACTACTATTCCAAGGGGCTTGAGATAATTACCTAGTAAATTAGAGGATTAGACAATCTGTCTATGTTCATATACGCAAAATGACACAACTCTGAGCCAAAAACACACAGCATAAAGTCCAACCTAGATAATATACAGTACTGACATCTGCGTAGACTGCATCACCATTTACAAAAACATTCACTATAACCCATCTCAGCGTTTTCTGAACACAATGTTTATCATCTCTTTCAAATTCCTGCAGGCCACTATCTCAGTATCTCCGAGATCTAAAGCTGCCATTGATGTTTCAGCTGATTTGGGAATAATACACTTCTTATATCCCAGCTTCGCCACTGTATTTATCCTTTTGTCCATTCTTGGTACCTAATAATTTTGCAAGGAGAACAAAGAGAAGTGAATCAGAATGGCAGGAAGAGGAAAAGAATATCAGAATATGTCTTGTGCATGGTGAGCAAGTATGGTTAAGCATATACAATCTCCAACTTAATGCCTTTCGAAAACCCATAGGCCTACAGCTGGATGGAGGGGGGCTATAATATTCTTTTTCTCAACTTTGGAAACCAACAACCAACAGGCAACATAATGAATGACCAACTCCAAGCAACAGCACCTATAAGAAGAAGCTACATGGCTTTTGTCAGCCCGGACATTAGAAAGGTGAGATAGGATGCATGAATTATGGTATTTATGTTTGATAACCGAGGAAATGGAAGATCATAAAAGTAGACGGCTCATAAAATTTGGAAAAATAAAAACATCACAAGTGACAAAAGTGCAGTTTTTTCCACCTCATGACTATAAAACAACAAAAGGATAGAGAAAAAAAGGAAAAGGAGAAAATCACAAGAAAGAGGTACGGTAGTTACAAGTAAATCTCAACTGGCTTTTCGAGGTGGAGCCAAAAGCAACATTTATAGTTAGAATCATGTTTTTGCCTATTTGGAAAAATATTGATATCAACTGGCTTATTCGAATTTGAGGATGCTATTATTTAATCTTAATTGCATTGTGTGAGGCCAGATAGCATCCTCAAATTCGAATAAGCCATGTTATCAGGGTGCAAATCCCAAAAATTTCACAAGAAAACAATTAATTTGGGAAGTGTACAGAAAGTAAAAAGGGGGATGGGGCAAGTATAATACCGTACGAATTTCACCACCAAGGCCAATTTCCCCAATGAATGCTATGCCCACAGGAAGAGGGAATTCCAAAAAACTGAAAAGGATACAATGCACATGCTTACAAACATCTATATACTTGACAAGAAATATAAAAATAATTACAAGAATATAAATAAATGCAGAAATCCTCTAGTCCATTTCACATTCTCAAGATTGGACAGCCAAGCCAGGCACACATCGGTTTGCTTTTACTTAAATAGACATTGGTTATGTGTTACAGCTAAGTAAATGTATCTTCCCAGTCACAAGAAGCAATTCCACGCCATCAAGAAAACTGCATGCTTCTTTTTTCTTTTCCTTTCCTCTGTCCATTCACTCCCTCCTTTGTCTTTCACATAGTTTGGTATTAATGTACAGAAAACATCCACAATAATCACATGTTCATTCCGTCGCACTTTATGTGACACTATTTAGCTCAGCACGAAGTTTAAGGTGTCTATTTGACTTCTATGTTATACAAGAAGTAAAACTAATAAATACTTTGAAAGTTAGTTACAGGAAAAAACACCACATTAATTTTAAGCTTGATTAACTAAATGAATTTGAATTTTTAAATTATGTAAAGGTTCTGTAAAATAATAATATGAACTGGGAGAGAAAACTATATAGGCGCTGACCTGCGAAGACAGATGACTAATATACATGAAAAATATACCTGCTACAAATTGCCGCTGCTACTGCAAGATCTCCAGCAGTCTCTGACAGGCTAACGCCACTGACAACATTGAGAAAAATTCCCTATAATCAAATAGAACAGGAACCACATCAAGGATCTAAAGAATATGTCAAATTATAAAAGAAAACACAAAGTATACACTGAGAAACCAAATATATATAAAGGAAGATCAAATTGAAAAATATCCTGAGGAGAAGCCATAAAAGGAAGAAAGTATTCGGGGAATGTTCATTAGAATCATTACATTCTCTTGCAGCTTGAGACCAGCTTGCTTTATAAGAACCTGTATACAGTAGTAAAGAAACCAGTTAATTTGCATCTTCAGCATACCTGATCGCCCCCACAAAAAAAAAAAAGTAGCCCATGGCATCTGAATTATTCAGTTTCAGGAAAAGGACATATCAACGATTTTCAAGAATATTAAATTGGTTTCTATACAGTAGTAAAGAAACCAGTTAATTTGCAATCTTCAGCATATCTGATCCCAAAGAATGTAGCCCATGGCATCTGAATTACTTAGTTCAGGAAAGAAAAAAGGAAATATCAACGACTCTCAAGAATTGGCATGTGAACCACAAGTTTCAGCAGTAGATTGAAAGCAACAACTTGATCCCTATTAGAAGAATCTACTAATTTCCTTACGAGCTCATGTAAACTTTGAAGGAGTAATACTCACTGAAATTATCATCTCAGCTCTGCCAGCTTGAACACCATTTACTTGTCTTGAGACAGATGAACCAGCGACACACAATGCCTACATGGATATAGAAATTTATTCAAATGACAATATTTGAGAAAATGTTACATTAGAAGAGCAGATTCATGGGGAAGTAGCAAGGGAGATATTTAGGTTGCTAAAAAACAATAAAACCGCTTAAATCACAAAGCTCTCTTCCTTCCCCTCATCGGTACACCTGTGCAGCTGTCATAGCTTTTGGCAAGAGAAATTGAAAAACGTAGAGAAGACATTGCACAAGGGATTATCACTGCACCATCTTTTTTCCAGGACCTGACCATTTACCCACTTGACTCTGATGTTTGTCATAGAAATCATCCCATATCTTCGTTATAGCCCTCCATAGGCCTTACCCCATAAGACATGGTAATTTGATCAGTCCTTCACTCACCTTCTTGGGCCATATTTGTCTATAATGAAACTTCTCCACAATGCTTGGTTCTACTTGAGCATAAACTAATAAAGACTTGAGAATGCCCAAAACAAATTATTGCATGAAGACATACCTGAATTTCAATAAGAAAGGCTCGAGATCCATCCATAATTACAGCAACAGCTAATCCAGCCAGAAACTCAGAATCCGACTGCTGCTCACTTAGAAACATTTCACTTGGGTTTGAAACAGCCTGCAAGCCTGATTGCGACATTTCAAATACTCCAAGCTGCAAACAAAAGACACTAGGTTAGCTGATTGCACCAATTTGCAACACAAACAAACATGTCAGAGCACACAATAAGAAAAAATACATAAATCAGAAAAAAAATTAAGAAATCATTATTAGGGATGGTCCAAAACTTTCAGTATGATGTTCCACAGAATCATAACTTGAAAACACTTCCCTGATATGAGAATCCTACAAAGATATAAGCATAATCCAGACTAAAAAGGTTTGGGAAATCCTATGGCGATTTTACCCTAGAGTAAGTCACGTCTACATATTGACTTTTGACAAATCTTTAACCAACATCAGAAAGGGATAACCATTATCAATCAGAATATGCTGACCAGATAAGAAGGATAACCTTCTTGGAACACCAGTAGCCCAACATCATGAAATGAAGCCGGAAAATCAGACTCCAAATGAAATATGAGCTTGTTTCTGGCAAGACCAGAACATACCTCTAACAGCTACTCGCCTACATCACTAAACATGAATAACATTGTGACTTCCAGCAGTGAAAAGAAACTTGGGACATATAAACCCGAGGAGAAAAGGCTAACGAGTTGAATGTCAAATGCAGCGTTAGTTAAGTAAGATAACTCAAGCAAACAAACACTGCTCAGTCAATAGCGCTTGAGATTAAAAAACCTCAATTATAACTTACTTGTTTTTTAATCTACATATTACCTCTGGGAAGGAGATAATAGAATAAATAGTTTTTCTTTTTTTTAATAACTGAGAAATCCTGGAAGGCCAGTGGCGCACGGTTTGAAACTTGGTGGATAAAAGATCTGGACCTCTACCCTTCTCCGCTTAAATACCGAGCCTTCGTCATCGAACCATGACGTGCGTCTAATCCACACTCACACGATGCGCTTTTACCACTAGACCAAAACCCTGGGGCAATAATAATTGTTTGGTTTAAGAACCAAACAACTTGATTTTGGAAAAAACAAGTCGTCATTAGTTTCCAATAATAGTTAGAAGCCAATGTTTCCTGGGAAAAGGCAATGAGCCTTTTTTCAAAGAGAGAAGAGTGGAACGCATCATTGTCAAGCGCGGGGCCACTGTCTGTTCAGTCACATTTCTGCTTCAACAAATTGCCTTATGACCCCAGAATAATATTTTTCTGCCAGAATAACTTTTTCTTTTGTTTTCCTTCAACAAAGTTTTTACTCAAAAGTATCGTAGCAGCAAAATAAAGATGCTTAGTCATATTTAATCTTATTACTTCTACCCATATGAAGGCCTCCAAAATTGTTTTAGAATTATAGACAGCAGCGAAATATTAGAAAAAATCTACTTGAGCTAGATCCAGATACTCACTTTTTTTTTTTGAGAAGGTAGATACTCACTTTTGTTTTCCAAAAACATAACCAATACCACTTCTCCCAATATCAAAACATATTCTGATCCATACGCAATCAAAGAAAATGAACATCTATGTAAAAATTCTTTTCAAGTTCAAACATATGTGTCGCATATGTTGTAATAAGTTTGGCACCTTTCCATGTTGGAATAAGTTTGGTACCAAGAGGCGACACAGTTGAGGATGACATTAAAAGTTTTTCACATATTAAATGTGGTGGACCAACCATCTTATGCCAGTTTTTGTAAAATATGTTCTATAAATATACGACAACTAAATACGTTTTCAAATAAAGTGCAAGTAATACAAATCAATTCTCTCCATTTCTTTTACCCCCCC